TTTCGCACAACACAAGCAACGCTATCCATTGCTCTACTAAGGTTGACGGTTAGTTGAACTTCGCCACATTCTTTCCTTTTCTCGTTATCAGCTGAGATCAATTAAAATATGACAGCTGTATGTATCAGTCTAATTTACAGATACCATTCGATATTTATCCCTTCACGACAACAAGTACATCAGATACTTTCCTGGACATACGAAAAAGTATGTTATTACACTCTTCTTCTCATATTTTATTTTCAGTATTAGACGTGTTTCTTAGCACTGATTTTAAGAGTGATGTGCCTAAGTATGAATCCCACTGATGACACTTTCCTCTCCGGGTCGTTAGATAAAACTATTCGTCTTTGGGATTTGCGCTCTCAAAATTGCCAGGTAGGTTTTCTCTTTGAAAGCAAGCATTAATCTTAATTAAGTCTCCTGGTTCCGAAATTGGATGACCTTTTAGGGTTTGATGCAAGTGAACGGGAAGGCAATCGCAGCTTTTGATCCAGAGGGATTGATTTTTGCTGCTGGTATCAATAATGAGCAAGTGAAATTGTATGATCTGAGGTCTTTCGACAAGGTTTCTGTTAATTTTTTTCCTTTTCCCCGTACTTTACCACTTTCATTAACATTTTTACCTTGATTTTTCGAAGTTACAGTATTTCACAAATGTCGTTTCAGGGGCCTTTCACAACGTTCAAATTGGAGGCGGAACGTTCCTGTGAATGGTCGGGTATGACATTTTCGCCATGTGGCAAGTACATCATGATCAATACCAACGGAACTGTGATTAGGTTTGAAATTATCTTAAATTTCCATCTCTCATGTGTACTTTTGTACTCAAGCGTACTTATGATATTGTCACAAACCATCCCTGAGACATACAGTTGAGACAAAACTCTCATTCTCTTTCATGGTTGCACAAATTGCGAATGCAGCAGTTGTTAATTCTGATCAGTGCGAACGAGAACGTAGGTATTTACTACGTGTTTTGTTCTTTCACACACATCTTGAAACTACTTTTCGCCATACATTGGTGTTTCTCGGTCAGGCAAATGCACAAAATTTGATGGAAGAAGAGGTAAGCAACTCTATGTCTGCTATTCTAAAACGTACAGTGTTTTTTGCACAAAATAATGGATTGGAATTTGTACGCTTTTTAATAAAATGAAAATGAACAGAAGATCAATGAAAAACAAAGTCTCCTGGTGATAGAATTGTTCCTTT